TAGAACGATAATCTATATAGATGGATGGATATAGGAACAATAATCGATGAAGGATTGTAGATAAATGGAGATAGAACGAGGGATAGATGGAAGAGCAACAGATAGAATAGATAGATAATAGAGAACATTAGATAGATCCAAAAGTAATTCAAAAGTCTAGATATTCTTACAAGAAAATAGGGTTGAAAAAAAGAGGCGTGACTTTAAAAGTTGATGCAATGTTTGTATTTGTCATTTTTAACAGGTTTTTTGATGATCTCCAGAAAATGCTGAGCATCACAGAGGAAGCTTCAAGTGAGTATCAAGAAATAATTCAAAAATCAAGAGAGTAAATAGTACATGTATACGCTAATGTTTTTGTTACAATCTTGCATTTTGTTTGTTAGGTGAAAAAGGAAACGACACAGCATCCAAAAACCCCAAAAACCTTCTCCAACTCGCCGATGCTCCAGTTTGCATTAGTGTGGGAATCACTCTGGCAACTGTAGGAATGGGAGTTTATGCTTTTTGATTCAGAACATTTTATACTTGTCTGTGTCGTTGTGTTACATCTTAATATCACGCCGAAGTCAAATCAAACCAAGATCTTGAACCAACACCAATCATGATTATAAAACATGCACTTCTAATTTTCCCCCCAAATAGTTTTAGACATAACTGAAGGTATCATGTCAGCACAATTTTCCTTTAAAAATGTGCATTTACATTTATACATTTGGCAGATGCTTTTGATTTTCAGAGTCCATCAATGTGATTTTTTTATGTATTTGGGAAATATGCAATAAAATTGAAGTTAAAATAAAAAAAAATCAATACTGATGTGTTTTCCATTAAAAGAGACCAGATATTAATTTCTTAAATTGCTTTATTGTTTTCCATACAAAAGTTACTTTAGTTTGACGAGTGGTGAACCATTTGAGAGAGTGTAAAGCATAGAGTTGCTATGGTAGCATTTGAAATCATAGCAAGCTTTGACAGAGCAAGATGAGAATAATTACTTTAGTAACAGTAAGATTGATAAACAGGACATTCTCCAACAACAGTGTCCAACACAACTATGTACAATTAATCTGAATTGTATATCATTTCTGCGGAGGTTTCAGATCAGATGTATGCATGAAGCAAACACACAACAATCATCATCATCTCTCTACTTGACCCTATAAGAACCTTCCTCTGCATGCGGTGCTGCAGCTCACCCCTCCTCATCATCAGATGAAGGACCTTGTGAATGGCGTTGTTCTGGGTATTTCTGTTCAGAGAGGAGGAGAATTTAATCTGAATGCTGTAAATTGCACATTGACGGTGAAGAATAGTGACGTGAAAAGTTGAGCTTCAACTCACCTGTTTGGTGAAATCCTGTATAATGCTGTGTTCAGACACCTGAGAGCCGATGGCGAAGCGTCTCTTCAGCTGTTTTTTTCTATGCGAGAGATCATCTCCTGATCCTCCTGAGTGCTGAATCCTTCCACACCTAACGTTACAGACATACATCAGACTCTTCCAGCTACATTTATAGAGGCTAGCGGCTCAATAACAGGATTCCGGCTGGTTTTTACTGAACATTTTTGGTCATGAATTCCTGTGTTGCAAACATTGCTCAGGATCATTTATCTGGCCGTCATAGTTGAGGTTTTGAGAGAATGCGAGTTTTAGGCGCATCAGATACAAGGCTGAAAATGGCAATCAATAAATATACCACTGCTGTTTATCAACAAACATACTTCTGTGAATTTATAGTTGTCGGTACAGCTGTATTTCCAGCTATTAATGAAAAAATTAAAAATGCTATATAAATATAAACACATAGCCTACATATATATATTAGGGATGAGTTACGATTTTCAAATATTCAATTAGTTGATTTGATGTATCGAATAGGTTGTGCGATTATCTTAAATAATATTTTTTTTAAATCCCCATGTTTTCGGTACTGATGGGGTGGTGACACCATTTTACCAGAGGGTGGCGATACCAATGACGCATCTGAAAGAAGTCAATCAACCCTCAGATAACAATATACACTAGGGCTGGGTAATAAATATCGATTTCTCGATATTAATCGATTATCATTTTTACGAACGATATCGATTCTTAAATCTCAAGAATCAATTAGTCATCCTGTTTCATTTGAATGTATGGGACATTGCATCGAATTGCAAGCTTGTGAATCGAAATCGAATCTAATTGTGAAATTTGTCTCAATAGCCAGCCCTAATACACACATTGTCACACCAGTGCATGCGAGCGAAGTGGTAATATTTCCTCCAGAGTTTTATGAAGCTTTTATGAAGATTACACTCAACTAACTCGATGCTGACTCGCCATCTTCGCAGTCGTGAATGAGTCTATGAGAAATGCACTTTCATACGAATTAGCTTACATAAGCAGAGATTAGCCCATTTGTTTTCGTTTACAGTTGTTTTGTTTAAAAGTCGACATCAGTATCACTATTAGAATCAATGATACTGGCTTTCATTAAATCCTAGTATGCAAGTATCCTGTCTTTATGTTGTTTCTACATTCTTTTGAAGAGTAACAGAAATTATTGCAAAATTAAAATGTTTTTAACTGCAGAAATTTTTTTTTTGATAATTTAGTAAATGTTTCACTAGAAAAATTAGTCTATTCTCTGCTTTAGAGACCAGCACACTTACCAGAGAGACTGCCGGACAGAGCCGCGTCTAGCGTGGACACCTGGAAGAGTCTCAGAGCCTCGTCCACCTCTTCCTCTCCAGCGATGGGCTGCAGCTTCATCTTAGCCAGAGACTCTGCAATGCGCACCACGGCCTCAAGCTGCCTGCAGGCCGACAAATGAACAAACACTTTATAATAACATAACCAGACAAGCGCTATGTTTGAAATAAGCAATGGTACTGCATACAGACTAGTGAATATGCCACTGGGCTCACGTATATAAATACACAAAATGTATAGAGTTAAAACAGGTTCCATATTCCTGAATTCAGTCGTTACCTGACAGTGATGGGGATGGATGCACGTCTGTCAATCTCTCTCTCGTGTTCCTTCGCTCCGCTTCTCATCACCACATATCTGTTCTTCAGTTTCTCTGCGGCGGCCGCAGACAGGCGGGGTCCACATTTCCTGTTTAAGAATTTACAACGCATTTAATTCTGATGACAACACTTGCGAATTTAACTTGGAATATTGCATAAAACAGGGAAATTGGCTCAAAACATCTGTAATAAAAACAGAACTTGCTGCTCTAATGTGGCTCTATTTCTTCCATCAAAAATTAATGAGAACACGCAGATGAAATGCAATAAACGCTGTCATGTTATCTTGCATTCAGAGGCTAGTGCTTGTGAAAGCAATTATGTGAGACGCTTTTGGGAGAGTTTTAAAGGGATAGTTCACTTTGAAATTAATTTTTGGTATGTTTTAGCTTGCCTCAAGGGCATCCAAGATGTAGGTGTCTGTTTCCGCAGTAGTTTCAATTTTGTTATTTTTAGGTCAAACCGTTATTGTCAGTCATATAATGGAGGTCAATGGTCACCACCTTAAAACGAGTGGTTTGTGTGAGAAAACAAACAGTATTTATATCGTTTTAACGTCTTGTAACCACAGTCACCTCCAAGGGATCTGAGAGCGCGGGCACTTTGTGGCTGTGGTTGAGGTAAAAAAATGATACAAGTACTGTTCGTTTTCTCACACAAACCGCTCGTTTCGTGTCTTAGGCCATTAATGTGTACTTACATTTACGAGTCATTAAATCATGTTTAATTTGGACTTCTCTGTGCATGCTCTTTGAGGTGGTGACCATAGACCTCCATTATATGACTGACAGACAAGAACGGTTCGACCTAAAAATATCAAAATTGAAAATACTGTGGAAACAAAGACACCTAAATCTTGGATGCCCTTGAGGTAAGCTAAAACATACCAAAAAATAATTTCAAAGTGAACTATCCCTTTAAGACAATAATTCTGATGACAGACTTTGGCTCAGATGCTGTGAAAAAAAAAAATGTGTATATATTGGTCGCTGGTTAGTCAAGTTATCCAATCACAGGCACTTTTGGAGAACATGCTTTTTTTTTAATGCACATTTTTAGAATTTATGTGCATCTTTGCATTTCCATCCAGCTTTTTTTATTTATGCAATATCCCAAAAATTCCCATTGAGGAGTGGATGGAAACTGCTACTGATGAATTAGGTTTCAGATTGTGTTTATGGACTTGGACCCAGACTTACACTCTCGCATAGGCGACGTATTTCTTCAGCATGGCCAGAGGAATCTCTCCCTCGACTCCCTCCGTCTGCGTCTGAGCGCTCAGGTGAACGTTCATCACATGCCGTGCCAAAGTCTACATAAACACACACAGACATGTGCATTAGCTCACATGAAATCACTGGGTAAAACTCTTCAATGAACTTTAGCAGTCTATAAGCAGCACCATGTCTCGGTGGTGGTCGTGCTGGTCTTTGATGATGAAGATCATGTCGAATCGAGACAGAATGGTGGGCATGAAGTCAATGTTGTCCTCTCCCTTCGTATCGTCCCAGCGGCCGAACACAGAGTTGGCGGCGGCCAATACCGAGCAACGGGAGTTCAGAGTGGTGGTGATGCCAGCCTTTGGGTGAAAACAAAGAATTGACGCGTCTGTGTTTGAAGAGACCGTAAGCTGAAGACATAGAGGATGTGTATCGGCGAGTACAATGCAGTGATAAATGTCTGGTACCTTTGCAATAGAGATGGTCTGCTGCTCCATGGCCTCATGGATGGCGACTCTGTCATCCTCTCTCATCTTTTGAAAAGAGAAACATTCATAAGCATTTCATAAGACTGAATGAACATTTAATTTCAGGAAATCCAAACTGCTTAGAGGAAGTCAAACCTTGTCAAACTCATCGATGCAGACCACTCCGCCATCCGCCAGCACCATGGCACCTCCCTCCATGATGAAACCACGAGTGTTGGGGTCTCGAAGAACCGAGGCGGTCAAACCAGCGGCGCTGCTGCCTTTACCGGAGGTGTAGATCTAACCCAGACACACACAATTCTCATTTACAGGAAACATTTCCATTCATGCATTTAGCTGACACTTTTATTCAGAGACTTACAAGAGGAACAAAGCATACAAAAATATTTATGTATCTGAAAGGAAGACTAATTGATTCATTTCGATTAAAATTGTAAAATAATAATGCATTCGATATTAAATGCTTCTATATAACATTAAATATAAATCTCTTACAATAGATTATATAATATAATGTCATAAATCTCTTACAATAGATTATATAATATAATGTCATAATTCTCCATTAAAGGAAAAATTTATGTGACATGATTGATTACATGCACATCCATATATTATTTATAATAAAATAAAAATTGTATTGTACACATTTAAAATTGTAATAGAGTATATAATACATGTTGTGCATGGAATAATATTTCAAATATAATTTAATAATATTGTAATATTATATTTATATTAACATATTAATGTCATGTAGTCAAGAAAATATGAAGATAATAACATTTAAGAATTTATATATTTTAGAACATACAGAATGT